GCCCGGCAGCCCAGCTAACATTTGCAATTAGCATTGTAAAATGTAGCCCGGCGGGCAGCCTGGCGGGCTGTGTTTAGCTATTTCCCTGCGCCTACTTCAGTGATGATGGTACCTGTAATAAATGTAATATACTTGCTGAGATGGAGGTGAGGCTCAGTGACTAGAAGAGCTGGTAGAAGCGTGTCATAGCTGTAAGTTACTCAAGTAGCCGTAGTATCTCTAGTGCTAATTCCAGGAGCTAACGCAAACGTCCCTACTTTTCTCGGGGTCATCCCTATGTTCCCCGGGTTCTATGTTCCCCATTTAACCCTGCAAAAGGTTCTATGTTCCCCGCTTACACAAAAAAGGTTCTATGTTCCCCACTTATCCAAAAAAGGCAGGAAACATAGCAGTTGCATTAATATGTTGTTTTAACATCTCTAAACACACACAACGGAACATAATGGGGAGAAATTACAATCAGAAACTTACCCTTTGGGCGATCTATGGTGGGCAATCTGGGCAATTATATCCTTTACAGAAGATTTTTTAATCCAGCCGTTAAATGCAGTGTTTCAGTCAGTGCAGATTTCTTCGAGCAGCCAAAGACCAACTGGTAAGAAAAGAATAATTCTCATGGCCGAAATAAAGATAAATAAGCTGTTAAGTGCAGCGTTTTTTCGGGAACTCTGTTCAGTAAATCCACCATGCGTATTTATTAGTTTTGTGATAAAAATAAATGCGTCTATGTTGTTGATCACGGATGTTGATATCACCTGTTCAGTTCGGTCCTTCGACCAATCAGATACTCAGATTTCTTCCTCTATTGTTTTTATGATGGTAGCGTCAGGAGCAACCAAAGACCGCCTGGTGGCAAGATAGTTATCTACCAGTGTTCCTAAACAAAAGAATATTGATCATGGCCGAAATAAAGATAAATAATTATGTACAGTTAATGCGTTTCCCGTTTGCTTATGGGTACAGGGAAAGATGTATGAAACACATAGTTTACATAGTTTAGTTTATGTAAAGCAGAACTTACAGACATGGACGTTAATATGAGACGGGGACAAAAACAGGAAGTGACACTACTCGCACAACCGGAAGTTCAACATCGCGGCCATGAAACAAGTCAGACTTCTCAAACTAAACCCTTGTGTGGCTTGATGGGCTGTACGACACATTACACCATTCAAAGAGGGTAGAGGTCAGTCTTTTTTAATCAGTTGAAAGACGATGGCAAAGGTAATGACTGGAGACTGGGGAGGAAAAGTATTGGTTCTGGATGATTTTAGGTACCACAGACACTGCACCAACCAAGAAAACATTGGGAGGTGTTGGAGGGAAAACTGCCGGGCAGTAGTGGTGACCAATATCTTTGATGTAGAGGAAGACAATCCCAACATACAAGTTCGGGAAGTCTTTGAACATGCTGAATTTTGCCAAGTGATGTCTGGAGTGGTGGTAAGGGATCCCACAGTACCAATAAGGCACATTTACAATGCAGAGATGGTAGCTCTACAGTGTCGCCGTGTGGTCCAGGGTGTAGGAGACAGAGAACCACCTCCATCCTTCCTGACACTGAGGTCTGTTATGGCCAGAGCCAGAGCTACTGTAATGCCCCCTATCCCAGCTACAGTTGCTGATGTACGTATCCAAGGTCTGTGGGCTGAGACATGGGGCAGAAACAACTTCCTGTTGCATCAAGATGATGAGTGGGGCATAGCAGTCTTTGCTACAGAGAACAACCTCAGACAGCTGCAACGTTGTAGGACAGTATATATGGATGCAACATTCAAGTCATGCCCACGTCCCTACAACCAGGTCTTCACTATACTTGGGGATGTCCATAACTTTGTTGTCCCCCTTGTGCACGTCCTGATGGAGCAACGCACAACTGGACACTACCGTCAGGTGTTCCAGTCTGTGAAAGCTGCAGCAAGGAGAATCACTCACCACCATTGGCGTCCCTATGAAGTCATCTGTGACTTTAAGCATTCCCTGAAGAATGCTCTTGAGACCGAGCTGCCACAAGCTAGGATTGGAGGATGCTACTTCCATTTCAACCAAGCCTTGTGGAGGAGAGTGCAAGGGCTTGGACTGACTGCTCCATTTCGACAGGACCGTTGACTGAGAGCAGTCATTCGCAAGGTGATGGCCTTAGGACACTTACCTCTGCCACTGATTGTAATTTCTCCCCATTATGTTCCATTGTGTGTGTTTAGAGATGTTAAAACAACATATTAATGCAACTGCTATGTTTCCTGCCTTTTTTGGATAAGCGGGGAACATAGAACCTTTTTTTAGTAAGAAGGAAACATAGAACCCGGGAAACAGAACCTTTTTAGTGTAAGCAGGGAACATAGAACCTTTTTTGCAGAGTTAAATGAGGAACATAGAACACCGGGGAACATAGAGCCTGGCGGAAGAGTAGGGACGTTAGCGTGGCAGGCGACTAGTGCTAACGCTAACAGGAAAGCAGGGAAATAGCTAAACACAGCAGAGACTGAGAGTGAGTGAAAGACATCGCTAACTGCTAAACTAAGCCAAACTAAGTTGGCTGTTTAGGTTTTATTTCCTCGCCCCTGTGGCGAGTGAATCTGCCTGTAGTGAAACCGGGGCTAACCGGTGCTTCCTCCTCAGGCTCCACTACACTCAGCTGCCAGCACAGCCAGTTAACCTCTGCTAGCTTCCCAGCTAGCAGCTCTCTGTTTGGATCCAACCAGAGCACCAAGCCCTGGTTTGTTATTCAGGTTAATGTGGGAAGAAGCAGCGGGTATATCGGGCAGCTGAGTGAAGTGGAGCCTGTGGAAGAAACACCAGGACCGTCTGGGTGTCTCCGTGGAGAGGCTGCATCCTCGGCTGCACAGACGAGGCGAGTGGGGTGGGGGGTGGAGAGCAGAGGTAGAGGGAGGAGTGGCTCATGACACACTTTGTTTTGGTCTACAGGCAGTGCACAACAGCAAACCTAGTGGTGAAACGATTTCGCTTTTCGCCCCTTTGGGCAAAAGCATCTACTGAGTGATTGGCTCATGTAATGTAATGGCTCACAGCCATTACATTAGTATGAAAAATCATCATTTAACAACACTGCTTCAAGGCACTCTATTTGAAGTAGCTCTTGTAGGATGCACATGTTATGGTCTATGAAAATACATTTTTATGCTCGTCAAGCATTTCCTAAAAGCACACATTATTAAACCAAATGAACAAGTTATTAAAGTGAGTGTACAGACGGGCTCAGTGTAGGAAAATGTGTGCATGAATTTAACTGTGCAAACTGAGCCAACCCTTAAGGGGAATCCCTAAACATGTCTTTATCCCAGGACCTCTATAATGTGCATAGCCTATTCAAAAATAAAAACGAAAAATTATATTTGTTTTCAAAATGTTTTTAAGTAATGCAATACAACTGAAATCACACACTAACAGGTATCCAATATATTATTTTTTCCTACCATAGCACCAGTGTTGGGAAGGTTTCTTTTCAGATGTAATAGGTGAGGGATTACTAGTTACCATTTTAAAAATGTTAAAAAAAAGTAATATAACTTTTATAATTGCTTCATCAAAGTAATGTAACTTATTACATTTTATTACTTTTTGATTACTTCTCTAACGAATGTTTTAAACTGGGCAACAAAATTGAAAATTTTCTAGGAATAGGCTGGGTCAAAAGCAGGCAGTACTGCACTGCGAAAAAACGCAAAGCAACAGAATGAGTGGTAGATTCTCCATATACACATTCTACTGAAAAGAACAGATTCAGATGAAACCCCTTTGTAATCACCAACATTTTAATTAGTAATTAATTATGTTTTTTTCAGTAACTGTAGCTGATCATGATTACATTTCTTTTGTAATTTTATGACATGTAACTAGTTACTTCCAATACTGCATATGACCCTTGGTGATATGATAAACATGACACAAAAACTGGCAGCGGCTCCTACTGTGGGCTTGACGTCTACTTGAATCAGTCAGTATGTTTCCATGACATTAGAGAAAATGCATTTTTTGTGTTAGTCCAACTAAAACCAGACTTTTAAAATACATGTAGACATGTTAGTTGGACTGAAAACGTACTAAATTGAATTTCTCAAAGTCGGACTAACATACCCACATAATGCAATTGGGAGTTAAATTACTCCTTCATGTATACAGTCAATTGGACCCAGACTGGCCAAGGCACTCTGCCCACGCTCCACAGTTTGCGCCCCAGGCTTTGACCCAGAAGTTGAATAGCATTAAATGTATAATAGAAGAAGAAGCTGGTAACAACATGGTGAAATCTACATTCAGAGCCATGCATTTTTAGATGGACGAGGAGACACAGAACATGCTGTGTCAGCTGAAAAAGTTAAGTATTTGAAAATACATGGATGGGAGGAAAACATGGAATGGCGATTGTTTGTTCGGTCTGTAGAAGGTCAATCGAAAAAAGGTCCAATACTAGCAAGCTAAGAGGGGGCATATCTGCACCTATTGTAGAGGAGTCGGATATACTTTTGTCAATAAATCGTTCTACTGTGCTTATACACTGGGACAAGGACAGCAGTCTAATTAAATGGCTTAGTCAAGCTATACCTTCGCTCCACTTAACTGTGCATGGAAATGTGCCGACTCTCCTGGCCCAAGTGTCTTTACTTCCTGAAAATCTAACTGAGGCTGCAGTTAGTGGTGTATAACCTGCTAGTTAGTCGGCTAGCACACTGAGTTAAAAACAAAAATATTCAAGCTACAACTCAGTAATGCAGTAGAGAGTATAATTTTAAGTCTAACATTTAGAAAAATACTCTAGTTTGACATGTTACCTCGAGTCAGGAAGCAAGAACTACAGAAGATTAATCTCTGTGTGTTTGCAGCACAGGGGAAACTTGTAGCATAGCCAATGACATAAAAACAACACAGTGGCTTTAAACCGGCAGCTTCTATGTGGACGATCTGACACTGTAGATGAAATAATGTCTACTCAACAGTAATCAACTGTACTGCTGAAGTACACAGGTTGGTGGACTCACCGCTGGTTGCAGCTGGCCATTGATGCTCGCTGTGCGAAAGGGGGAGTTGGTGGACAGACGCTTGTCCCACTCACTGGGTCGAGGCTCTGGTACAGACTCCATAAAACTCCTCTTCAGCTCGCTGATGCTAGTGTGGTGACGCATGATCTCAGTCTGGGTCTTATCCAGGTCCTTCAACAAGAATGTACAAGTCAGACTAGGTAGATGAAAGGGAAACAATAACAGAAAATGATTAAATAAAGTTGTGAAAGAAAGGAAGAGGGAAAATGAAGTGAAAAGAACATACAGAAGATAAATATATGGGTAAAGAAGGGTAACACATAGCCAAAAATAATAAATCACCCAGGCTGAAAAAGAGCACGCTCAGTTCTTTGACTGAGCCTGCCTATTCCCAATGACATGCTAAGGTCAAGGAAGAATATATTATTCAGACAAACCAGACACCAGACTGCATGGGAGGGAGTCATCATTTGTCTCCTGTAATCTGTCATCCATATTTGAGCCCAGCAGCAGTCAATGATATTTGGAGTTTACAGCCATTTCTAAATTTCTCGTGTGGGTTATGACAACATAAATAAAGCAGTGGAGGCACAGAAGATGTCTCGAATTGTGTTCACTAAGGCATCAGTTCATTGATTATGGCTTCCATCACAGCCAGCAGACATGGAAAACAGAAGGTGTCATGTTTCTCTGAAAAACCTGGATATAATGAGCTGGTCTGACAGAACCAAAGCAAGGAAGGGAAACATCCAACCTCAGCCGAGTGCAGGACAAAGGAAGCATCGAATGGAAAAGAAGAGGTGTGTAGTTTGTACACTGAGTATTGCAAGCTCACAAAAGTATTAAAACCGTGAAGGCACAAAGTGTGAGAAATAAAGAGAAAAGTGTATGAATGTTTTGCCTGCTGTCTTCAAGGTCAAGATTAAATTATTTACATACTGTTTAGGCTACAGCCTTTTTAGGTATACAGCTATTGTTTTTGTATGATAGGTGTTATTTTGCATCACATGATCACCTTATGCCGGGTTCAAACTACACAGTATAAGCCTGACGATACCCGACACAGCGTTGTACGGTGTCGGCTTGGATCGCGAACAACAGTGAGTGTCGTACACGATAATCCATAGTTTTCTTGTGTAGAGTGTCATAGTAGATGACAACCGATGCCGCGTTTGGGGCGCCTCACAACGTCCTGACAGAAAGCCGAGCAAGTTTGATTTTCTTTTTGTCTTCTTTTTGATCCGTCACAGCCGTCACTTTGACACAGAGTGATCTGCTCCCGTAGATAACTGTATGGCAACAACACCCCAGCCTTTTTGATATTACCACTAGGGGTATTACCACAACAAAGTAAAAAGGAAAAATGATGGTGTGAAACAGCAGAGACACTTTAACAACCCGGTGAGTACTGCCATTAGCATCAAGAATGTAATTTCTTCTTGATGGAGATGGATATAGAGGAATAAAATTAAAAAATAGGGGAGGGACTTTTACTTACCACAACTGCAGAGGGTACCAACTTCATTTGAAACAGAGTAATTAGAAATGGGCCTTTATTTCCAGACACAGGCCTTTATTTTTTTTTTTTTTTAGGTTTTTAATGTGAAACATTTGCAGGACCTTGTGGAGGATTCAGTGACTTGCGTAGTTTTTACACGGTATTTCAAATGTAGCTCCTGCCATCTGGTGGCACTTTTTATATTGCTACAATAATATTTTGGCTGGGATATGAACAGCCACTGTGACAAAAATAACAGTAATAATAATAATGAAAATAGGACAAGAATCATCCAATGACATCATGCATGTTGTGAAAGACAACCAGCAATGATTGGTCATGGACCATCATGTAGTCTGTCATGTCTGTCGGCCAAGTCACGGCAATATTTTATGACTCCATAATCACCTAATCTAAAATAGTGACTGTCAGAACAGACAAAAATGTTGTGTAGTCTGAACCCGGCATTACAGAGCTATCATTTCGTCTATACACACAGCCTTCTCAGTAATCACATCAATGATGACCCAGCGGAGACATTTAAGATACAATGTTGATGTTTGCAGTATTCAGCGTGCAGACCTCCTCTTTTTTTCCACTGAATCATAATTGTGAATGTAATCTTAATGATCAAACACCATGACAATGACTAAATATTGTGCTTGCAATTTTAAACTAGACTCAAGGCTATTTTTTTTTTTTTTTGGTTGCTATTTTAATGTTTGCACTGTTTGCTCTGTTTTCTTAATGTTGTTTTCTACATCTATTCTATTTTTACTATTGATGTTGTTTTAACTCTGTACCCACCTATGTGCAGCACTTTGGTCGACTGCCGTCGTTGTGCTCTAGAAATAAATCCTGACTTGACTTGACTGACTAGGACGTAGCTGTAAGCTAAGCTAAGCGAAACACGTCCTGGAGCTCCAGTTTCTCTTTATTGGAACAAGAGATGAAATTGATCTGCTCTTCAGGGTTTGATGGTTAGCAAGCTATTTCCTAAAATTTCCAAATGTTGTTTTCATTATGTGAAGCCATGTGAAATAACAGTGTGATAGTGGCCATCAAGTAGTGCTTAAATAAGTGCATATACTATTTCATAGGTGGTACGTAGGCTGAATTGGAGAAGCAAATGCACACAGTACAGACACATGAGGAGGGGGGTGACACGTCGCATGAGTAGTACCCTGAGACTGTACCCAGAACCAACTTAAAGAGGTATAGAAATGCTGTAAAGCGAGATTGCTAACAATAATAGGAATCCCTGTGGGTTTTTCACACTGAGTCATCCCTTTCACACTACATGTAGGCCTTTGTTTCAATAGCAACATGGAATATGTATTATTTACTAATGCAGCTTTAAAAGGGAAATTCACCAATATACTTTTCAGAGCAGCAGTAATCACATCATCCCTCTCTTCTGAACGATACAAAGCCAGCACAGAATGGCACAGCGATCAGTAATCATAGCTATACACATTCACATACATAGTAAATACAGTAGAGGCACTGCAAGGGAGTAACCGTAAAACTTCAATTAAAAGACTAGTCCCTCTTACTAGCCTGGTGTGACTACACATTTTGACATACACAAGCCTGTTTAAATTAGAGGCCTGGTCTGGTTGTCATTTTTTGTAGAAGTCCTTTGGATGTCTAAAACCAGGTTGCTGGCAACCTCAAATTCTGAGTCCATTCCTCAACTACCCTGTGAATTTGTCATATTCCTTAAGTCCATAAAGGTCCTCAGATTAAAAGAATCAAAAAGGGTTTTTCCTAAAAAGTTAATCCAAGTTGTGAGTATTGTTTTAACAGGATAAAGTGGGTGCCAGGTGCCGTAATTCTTGAGTGCCGTATATCTCTCTCTCTCTTTCTCTCTCTCTCTCTCTCTCTCTCTCTCTCTCACTCTGATGTGCTACCTGTTAAGTGGTATATTATCTGAAGCTTAATATCTTAAAAGTAATATTCATACTGGTTTAAATTAACAATTTGATTGTATTTCCCAATCTTTGCTGAGCAAGATTTTTGTGTGAATGGAATTAAAGGCCTGTCCCATATAGACACCTGTCCCAAATATAGGCCTGTTGATATCAGTGATTTGAGAAAATAATAGCCCGGGCTATTAATTGAAGTTGTACGGTAGATTCATAAATGAATCAAATGAAAAGACTCAAAGTCCTCATTAACCATGAGGACCACTGAGAAAGAGTGTCCAGAATCTGCTAATAACATCAGTGAGACATACATGACTGGGAAAGAACACACACAAAAAAAAAGAAGGATTTTTGTTTTTAATCTCTCTGTCAGTAAACCCTTTTCAGGGCAGACATTTTGACATGGCAAAGCAGAAAAAAAAAGACAGCTGCATTCCATTTAGATGTGCCAGTTCCAGGGATCTGATATCATGCATCCTCACTCACTGACATGGCTTACTGAGACACTTGATAAAATGGAGCCATCATTAGTGTTATTTATGCCTGTGCTTCTGTGTTGACAAATCAAAATGTCTGTCCTGAAACAGCTCTAGAGAAATCATGGCAGAGCAAGTTCTTACTCCCAACTCCTAAAATAAAGCAGCTTGGTCACTAGCCCTATGCTTCAAACTATGGCACTCTAGGTACTCCTCTGGCATCTGTTTTGAATGTTTGGCATGTCACTTTCCGCTCGTTACATGCAAACTTTCTTTTCATAATAAACTTCCATGTTCACAAGAAACATAGGTTTTGTCACCAAAATTACTTTATGTTTTAGACAACAAAGCTACTTGGTCAGGTTTAGAAAACAGATCATGGTTTGGGTTAAAATGATGTTTGTCACATAATTTAAGGTCATGACTGTGACTACAGGCTCATTTATGCTCAAAGTTGGATACATATACAGACACAAATGAAGCCTGCCTGTACTCTACGTTCATTTCATCCATATTTGTGCACGTTTTCTGAGAGCTTACAGATTTGGACAAATTGGAGCAGGACCACTGGAGATTGTGGAGGCAGTGTAGCATAGTTCAAGCAAGATACGACTGTAGGAGACATTTAAGAAATGGCGGAATGGAACAAAGAGTGAAAAGAATTCACTATCCACATCTTGATGTATTAAATTGCCTTACAGACCACCGCCATCTAGAGCGTTGCCTCCATTAAATGGTATGTTATTGCAACCTATCCCACTGCCGCCCTGTTTGTTGTGTGAAACTTTTGACTCCAGTCTCTAGTGCCATCTCTTGGTTGTATTTATGGAGCCTTTTACTGTTAGTAAACAGTATGATGTTTTTTGGTGGGCGGGCTTAGCTGGAGGCAAAACAATTCTCCACAGACCTTAGGGAGCGCTAGCTAGCAAGTTCTGTTGGCTTGTTTTAGACAATGAAGGAAGATGATACAAGTCTTTCTGAACAGGGTGTGTTCAGAAATACTAATTCTGATTGCCGGAGCACACTCTGGCACAAACTGGGCTGTTTGTAAATTTGGAGCGCTGTCGGAATGTACCGTTCAGTTATCCAGAGCACTGCACTCTTAGAGTGCTGGAGTGCACTCTAGGCACTTTGTCTGGGGAGACGGAGCAGCAGAGCACCGAGCAGAATGAACGTGTGATTAACATAACTGTCATTTATATAGAAATACAACACCCCATTTCTTCAATCAACAGGGCTTTAATTTTAGTGTATAGTGTCAGACTGAAT